GAGCCTTCCTCCTCCTCCCCCTCCTCCTCCTCCTCGCCTGGGGCTCTGGCTGTGACGGTGTTCCCGTGCCAGGCCATCACCATCGAGGCCGAACCCCGCGCCGACGGCAGCCGCCGCACCACCCGCTACGACATCGACATGACCAAGTGCATCTACTGCGGGTTCTGCCAGGAGGCCTGTCCTGTGGACGCCATCGTGGAGGTGAGTGGGGGCTGCGGGGGCTGCGGGGACTCCCTTTTCCCGCCACGGTGACCCCAAGGGTGACCCCGTCCCACCCTGGCCTGGCAGGGCCCCAACTTCGAGTTCTCGACGGAGACGCACGAGGAGCTGCTCTACAACAAAGAGAAGCTGCTCAACAACGGCGACAAGTGGGAGGCCGAGATCGCGGCCAATATCCAGGCCGATTACCTGTACCGGTGACGGCCCCCACCTGCCCCCCAAATAAAGCATTTGGGGGTTCACCCCCTCTGTTGGCACTGTGGGTGCCAGCCCCTTCCCATAATTCTGTGTCTTTTCCTTTCCAGTGCTGGGGTCAGACCCCAGACCCCTGGGGGGACCCACCCCTGGGTGCGTGGCTGTTTTGGGGAGGTGGATGCGGGTCCTGGGGGTGCTGGCAGCAGTGTTGGGGTAGGGGGTGTTTTGTGGGGAAGGGTGTGGGAGGTGGAGGGGGGGCAGGCAAGGATGGAGGGGCAGTGCTGGGGGAATTTAGGAATCTGGGAGGGTCATTTCCAGCTTCTGAGGGCAGCCAGGATGGGGGGAGCCTGGTGATCCTGGCAAGGGGATCACAGTTCACAGTGGTATTGATGTGAGGGTTCCAGTGATGCCTGGGATTCCAGCAGAGGGTCCTGATGCTGCCAGTGGGGGAGCCTCTAGTGGGATTGGTATGGGTGTCCCAGTGGTGCTGGTGTGTGGGTACCAGTGTGGGGTGCCTGGCAAATCTGCAGTCTTCCAGTGGTACCAGTGTGGGGGGTCCTGATGATCCCAGCAGGGAGATCGTGGTGCTACCTGTCCCTCGAAGGTGAGAGTAACACAGGGGCGGATTAGAGTGAAAGGATTTTTAATGATTGGTGTTTGTAAGAATGTATGTGGAGGGTTTATTTCAGAACAGTTGGGTTGCAATGGAAAGCAGGTATGTAGCTGTTTGGTCATTATTATTACAGTAATATAGGAACATGAAAGCATAAAAATGTTACTTTAAAGAAATTTATAATGAAAAAGAGAAAAAAAAGAACGAAAAGATAAGGGTAAAGAGAAATCACCCCTGGCGGATCTTGTGACTTGATTGTTGCAGTTTAGTTGTCCCTTGGTCGAAGTGATGGTCTTGATCTGTCAGCAGTGGGGGAAGAAGCCCACAAAACACAAAGTCCGATGGGTTAAAATGCGACCAGGCTCAGGAGGAATGCCCAGGTTTCAGTCCGCTGGTGAAGGGCCTCAGAAAGGAGTCTGGGAGCGCTTCGGGGGTCCCTGATGCTCCATGATCCCTTCTCAGCTGCCTCTCCTGGCGGCGCAGTTCAGCCGGCGGTGCCGGAGGGGAAGCATTAGAGCTGAGCCAGTTGTGCAAGGGAGGGCCATGAGCGTGACGAGAACGACCATGGCAGGACGCAGACAGTGATAGTTCACGCCCTTTGTTTTATGCAGATTGGGTAGTAGCACCCCAAACCTCTTCTCTCCAGGGATGGCAGCCTGGTCCCAGCAAAGTACCCCGGCTCCTGCACAAATGGGGACTGTTTTGAGTAATCACTCGCTGACAGTCCGGTTTCACAGCGGTGTGAGGGTCCTGCTGATACTGGCGGGCGGTTTCCCATTTCCATCCTCCTCGGGGGATGCTGCGGGGCTCCTGTGTCCGCGGGGCCGCTCCCTGCGGGGTGCGGGATGTCCCGGGGAACGCGGTTCCGGGGGGCGGCGGGGCCGGGCCGGCCGGTCCCTCCCCGGGGCCGGGCTCTTCCTGGG